GGTTTTAATGAAATATTTTAACAACTATTGGATGGATTGCCATTAATCCAGCACACAAAATCAGGTTGTAATTTTGTAATGCCCCGACTTTCATCTGGCATCATCGTCAGGTAAAATGTGTTAATTAGCAAATGCTAGCATACTAACCAGTAAACTAAGAAAGTGAACACGATGAACATCTCTGCTTAACTGCACAAAGTTGTGAATTAAGGACAATTTATGGAATTTAGAGCCACTTTGCCTTATTTCTGTTTTAACAGCACTGTGTTATTTCATTCATTAGATACATTTTGAAGCCGACTTTCACATCCAGAAAATAAAAGTTCATGTGGTGCAGGACATAAAGATGAAATCATGCAAGGTTGCATTGTGGGATGAAAGAGGATAGCTGTATCCACTCCACTCACATCAGAGCACAACACCTCTAAACCCAACAGGACCCACCACTGACATATATGGAGTGATTTGGCATATACATTTTCTTTGTGGTTCATTTAAACATTTTGAAATATGGCCGATCAAACAAATTGATTTGACAATTCAAATTAAATGATTATAAATTTGCTTCCAGAATACTTTTAGTATATTCTACATTTGATCACTCAGTCAGTATTGTATGCTGTACATTTACATTTACATGTATATGCCAAAGTCAGATGCTGAAAAGGTGACTGTGAGAGGTAGCCATGGGGACAGTAGCTTGCAGAGGGAGTCAGACAGCTTTAGGGTCAAGAGGACAGTGTCGTGACAAGGGGACAGCAGTCCAGAGCACACCCCAAGGACCAACAAAAACAAAAACACATTAACACCAAAAGGTTTCACACACAAAATCAGACAGATCAACAGCTAAAATCACATACACTCAAACAGAGACAACAATGTAAAACAGACACTTTATGACCATCAACAGGGAGGAAAGTATGGACTTGAGAGAAAAAGAAATGCAGCTGAACACCACTTTGTGGCCAATCACAGCAATAAACATGGTGATTGTAAAAAGATCATAACCATAGCCTGAGATGTGGGTCATGGTTAGACTTTAACTAGGTTACTGAATAGATTGCATTGCATCTCAAAGTGAACATGTGATGACATAAATAAAAATATCTTACATTTAGATTGCTCTTGTAAAATGAGAAAGAGGTAAAAGAAAAATAAGGGTTAGACAGACACAGAGAAAATATTTAATGCTCAACAAAGGAATCTTAAATGTTTTTTTAATCTTCAAACTAAAAGAAAACCCCTCCTGTCCAGTCCCTGTGTCACTGTGAACTATGAACTACCACCAACTACTTTCTTACCGGCAAGCCCTTCTCTCCTGGCTCTCCCTTTGAACCTGGTGTTCCCTGTAAAGAAAGATTAACAGAAAAAATTAAGTCCAACTTCAAAACATGAATGAAAGCTTTGCAGCAGTTTAGTTCAACAGAAAGAGCAGACTGTGTTGTCGCGGGTCAGTGTGGTTTGTAGTGCTGCTGGTTAGTGTAGCTTACAGTAATATAACCAGCTATGACATGTGTTGATGTTTCCCCCCATACACTCGTTTACTCCACAATGCTTAAGGCTGCAGGGTGGAGGTGGCTTACCGGCTCGCCTCTGAAGCCCCTCTCTCCTGGGTAACCTAAAGGACCCTGAAAAAACCAAAGGCATGTCACAGAGAGTTTGGGTGTAAATTAAGAAAAAACTACTGAATATCATCAAGCTCTGAGTGTACTTACTCTCTCCCCACGTTCTCCTTTCGGCCCAACAGGCCCCTGCGTTCCAGGGACTCCAGGTTTCCCCTGTATTGAGTTAGAAAGGAAATTCAAAATGACAATCATCTGAACAAATCTGACCGTGATAAACTCAGTAAGTGACTGCAGTGCAGCACTATGCTGTGAGCGAGCTTACATTCTGTCCTGATGGGCCAGGAGGTCCTACTGGGCCTTTGGGACCTGGGGGACCTGCATGATAGATAGAAAGATTAATATTAGCACCAAGTACCATTATAGTAGGTGGTGCTGGTTTTACAACCTTACATATGTACAACACCTGTAGGTGTTTATGACTTTATATATCTTCAGAGTAGCTTTCAGTGTGGAAATGGGAATGTTTTGTTTGGTCACCTGGTTTAGAATAAGCATTTCTGCACTAAAACTGAACCAACATCCTTTTTTAATTAGAGACCAAATAACTTCTGATTGGGACAGCTGAATGAAATTGATATTATTTACAATAATAATACAATGGTGTGTGTTGGAAAATATATCAGTACAGTAGATATATCCAGTATCAAATAGCGTACATCTGCTGTACTTTTGCATGTAAATCTTTAGTGTAGGGATACAGTTACAAAAACACACCACAATCACAGTCACTCACAGAGGTAAACACAGTATGGATAGAGATAAACACTCACCGATAGGCCCAGGGGGACCCTCAGGTCCTGGTACAGGCAGCCCTCTTGAATCATGGAAAGTGTTGGTGAAGAAGGGGTCTTTTCTACGATCTGAAGTTGAAACAAATTGTGTTTGTTTAATGGAAGCTACTAAAATATATCTCCCTTACTGAAAATCGTCTCATTATCCAAACATGTTTTTATTACTGTATGAGATCATATGTATTAGTGCATTGTATGTATTACTTCATCAATTATCTTGTTGATTTTATTTTGCCCTTAAGGGGTTAATTGGGACTCAAACCTGGTTCTAGTTATGGGCTTCAAAAATTATTTCCAATCAAATCTGAAGTGCACTGCCATAACATGAATGTTATTCTCTTTGTAAATGCAGGTTTGTACTGTGGGCATGTAGTACTTCCAACAAGCTCCACCAATCGAATGGTTCTATTGTGGTTACATTTATAGATGTTAAGGGTTAGCTTAGTTTTAGTGAATGAGGCATGATTTGTATGTAGCCTGAGAGAAAGTACTCCTTGAGAAGACTGACGAAATGTAAATGTATGCATGTATTATATGAACTAGTGAAGAATACTGTTCTAAGCTTCTCAGCGTGTTTTATTTTACTTTTGTTTTGGTTGCTGATGATGTTGCCTGAGAAGCTCAAATCAGGCACTGAAAGCCCTCTTCATTTCACCAACGTAACCTCCAGAGGGCAGTGTTTTCCAACCAATACTCAAACTTTACCTAATGACTTCAACAGGGTAGTAAAATACACTAAAATGTCAGTGGTAGATAAATGTATCACATTAATTACAATAAAGTTATGTAATATTGCATCAAACTTCCCACTGTGTAACCATACACAGTGGGAACATCTGGACATCTACAACTAAATTAGTTTACAGACGGACATGAGGAACAGTGTAGTGACGTGCAAGCGGTACAGGAAGGCTGCGGTTATTGGGTCATTTTATACTGACAGGAAACACGGATCCAATCACAGCATGAGACTTGTGGAAATCAGGAGGAGAAGGAGGAGCAGCCGGAAACATCCTCTAACTGCCAGAATGTTACACACCGCTAACAGAGGTGACATCCAAAACACAGGACTGCTCTCTCTGTGTCTACTTCTGCACACTCTCTTCATTTCCTACTGAGAACACACTCCTCTTCACTACTCCACGTTCTGGCTGCTGGTTTAGGAACCCTCTCCTGTTCTGCAGAAGGGAATTCCAACCCCCTGATGCAGATGTAAAAGCCAAATAAGCCAGTGTTTTCCAAAGGAAGCTCGGCACAGAGCCCCCCAAAACCCCCCGTCCGCCCCTCCCCTTACATCCCCTACTGTTACTTTGATGTGAAATAAATGGCTCACAGTTTCGGAAATCATCATGCCAACCTCAACGTACCCACAGCTTTCTCCACACAGGAACCCAGTGCTTTACAAATCTGTGTGCTGCATTCTTTGTTTTACCACTGAATCCGCACATAAAATCTGCTGATGTGTTGACCTTGAAAGAGCCGGTGCAGGCCCCCATCTGTCTCTCGCACTCCCCCTCAGCTGTCTGAGCGGCGGCCTACATCTGGAAGTTGTTGAGTGACATCAGTGATGGACAGGTTCTCATCCCAGCATGTGAAGTCTGTGTCAACCTCAGACTGTCTCTGCCTCCATTTAATACTCTTTGATTCTGTTCTACTTGGCCGGCAGACAATAAGGAGCAAGTAGCAGTTAAAGGATTACCACCATCCTGTCTGTTTTTCATTCTCATTGTTTCTTTTGTTTATCATTTGTCCTAGAACCTGTGAGAGCTCTCACGCTGCAGGAGAGGACATGTCTGCAAGGCTGCTTGAGTCAAACCAAAAGCCTGTAAAACAACCCTGCCTGAGAACAAAGGCTTTGATTGAATTTATGTACATGCAATGATGTTCATGGAAAACTGATTTTGCGTACAACAATTAAATACAAGGATTAAAGTGCGCTGAGTTTAGATATGAAAGTCTGTATACAGATCTTCGGGAATACTACTGTACATATGAATAAAGTTGTATAGAGCCTTTTGTGGCTCCAGAATGAGCTGCACGGTCTGATAAATTGCCTCAAGTGACATCACTTGAGTCAGCATCAGACTGAAGGTTTGAAAATGAAAAAAAAAATAATAATCTGTTGGTGTGGAATTCGAAAGGAGTGAGTGTACCAAGACCTCTGCAGCCCGTGCCTCATCTACAATTGCTGCTAGTAGCATAACACACCCCCATCTCTGACTGAAGGTCGAGTTGCATCATGGGTGCCAGGTTTTGACAAGGAAGAAGAATGTGTAAAAAAAAAAAAATGTTGCATTGATTCTCCTTTTTAAAAATCAAACAATGTTTAAATGACCAGTGTGTAGGATTTAGTGGTAGATAAAACTTGTTCATTCTAAGGTAACAAAAACATAACAATTCTTATATTCAGGTGATTATAAACCAGTGAAATGTACCTACGGATATTATATTCCATTTCTGTAAATAGATCCTCCTACACGTTACACACNNNNACACACTGGACCTTTAAGACTTGTATTTATAACAAATACAAAGAGTACTTTTAACTATTTGGTATGGAACTCATAGTGACTGGATAAAGTCCAGGGTCTTACTGTGGTCTGGCTCTGGGATGTGGGCACTGGCCGGCGCTGGAGGCCCTGGTGGGCCAGGCGGGCCTGGTAGGCCCCTCTCTCCTGGGAGTCCTGGTGGACCACGGGGGCCTGAGAGGAGGGAGGACAGAAACATCACTGTGGTGACAGACATGTGGTATGTATGTCATAGCAAAATATGATCTTAAAGTTTCTTCTGGAGAGGATAATGATAAATGACTATGGGTGAAGTGGTGATAGGAGGTTAAACTATGACAAAGACCAGAGAGGAAAGAGATTAGATAAAGTGCTGAATGATACAACATAATAGTGTCTGGCAGGAGTGTGTGTGTGTGTGTGTGTGTGTGTGTGTTGTGTGTGTGTGTGTGTGTGTGTGTGCCCTTATATCTGTGTCTGTGCACATGTGGTATAAAATCAGCAGCTGGACAGAGGAGGTGAAGTGTATGAACTTTTTCTGTAATTAACAGGAGGAGGGTGTTTAATGGTCCAGGGCATGGGAAAGCTCAAATAAACACCATTAAACTCCGCAAAGTATCACTGGCACTGGTTCATAGTAAATTAAATGTTCCCTGCATACTCACCGCTAGCTTTGTACATGTGTATCAGTAATAGCCTGTAGCAGGTCCACATGGGCCAGTCAGTGAAAGTGTCCCTCCTCCCTCCCCAAGACATTTTTTATGAAGGTGGAAAAAGAGAACACTACCACAACTACATCTGACCTCACTGTTTGGACTCTCCTGAGGTAATGTTGCCCCCTGAACACTACCTCTTGCCCTGAAACAGACCCAGGCTCACCACCTCTCTGTTTATGTACTGAGGCAACTGACAATGACAGTCCACTAATTACTGCTTTGCAAAGTAATGTTATTACAGCTCTTTATTTGACACCTCTGTGGGCCATTTTCACTTAGCCTTGGTAAAAATTGCAGCACGACCGACTGTGTTTTGGCTGCACCGGGGAGACTGTAAGTTACAATCTGCGGCACAGTGGTTCAAAGTGGCTCTTCAAAGTCTATGTGACATATTGGGGAAAACAATTTTCATTTTTCCTGCAGAATAATGGTTCCCTGGAGCAGCTGGGGGACACTGTGTCAAAATATAAGTCAAAGTTTGCAATACAACTCTCCTGAAACCTATTAGAACTCGTCATAATGTACAATATCCCTTCTCCTAACATCACAAGCTTTCACCTAATCTCTGTCTCCTTTTTTGCCATGACATTGAACACATTCCAGTCCTGTGTTTATCTTTCTCTTTTAAATGAAAAAAAAAAAAAATCAGCACAATAAGGAAAACATAGCTTCGGATGCAAGACCCAGCACTGGTTTTGGGTACTTGTGAAGTAATGGAGATAGAAAAAACAATAACACCACAGGCATATGGAAATCATAAGGTCCTGGGATTTGTGTATATATAGCTCATGTTCATTTCAGATTGAAATCACATGGAGCTTCTCGGAAAGTGGGTTTGTAGTTTAACTTTTGCTCTAAATCTCATCTTTACCCAGCAGCAGGCACAGAGCGGGGATTCACATGTTCGCCTGAAAGGAGAGGCACTCCCTTCATGATCCAGAGTTAAGGAATAACAGCCTATAGCGAGAGCAGATGTTGTGACACACTTACACCGCCATTTACTCTATTATCATTCAAGTCACAGATGCCTGTGGAGTTACTTTTTTTCCCCAACAGGTCATTTATTATTTGTACATAACCAGTGAGCTCTGAATACACAGAGCAGATTTATGATTCAGTGTTTGTTCTGGTTCGGTGACCATGAGCAGCAACACATGTTATATGTAGTCTGAAAACAAATACTTTTGCTGCCCACTGAAACAGCACTTTTAGAAACATAGAAACATTTTGAAAGCCAACCAACAAAATGCCCAAATTCCAGTAAGTTACCACTCATGGGCCGCTGGAACACTCTGACGTTTACCACTGGAGGATCTGGTGGTTGACCGAGTGGTTTAAGAGAAAGACAAACACTTTGGAGCAGGACATCCCGGGTCAGGCTTTTGTTGGAGATCTCTCTGTTTTTTCCACAGTTTTTTTCCACTGGTCTTTGGTCAATACTGAGCCATTCAAATGTCTTGTTCTACAGACAATACGTCAAGTGGACAGGCAAGTACACAACTACCCTGAATTTCTCTCAGTGACACACACAAATCTTTACAACATGCTTATTGACAAACTGTGAACACCTACTAAGACAAGGTTTATTTGTTTCTCTCAGCTCACAACTGTCTGCTAACTGCTGACAGCTAAGCTGTCTGTATTTCTACTTTCAATCCTCTCTTACCTGCAGGTCCCTGGGATCCCTTCGATCCAGGGGATCCAGATGGGCCCCTTGTACCGATATCCCCCCGAGGCCCAGTGGGACCTGGCAGCCCTCGAGAACCTGGCTTCCCTAAGAGGAGAAAACAGTCGTGAGTAATCACGAGGTCTTAACTGGTTTACATCTTAAATGTTTTAAATCAACTGAAAGGCAACTATGGTTACAATTTACCGTCTCTGCCAGGAAGCCCATCTCTCCCCTTTTCACCCTGAGGACCTGTAATGAAAACAGAGAGGTGGCTTAATTGAGATGTGAAAAAAATCTGGGCTCAAAGCACCTGGAAATTCTGTCAAAGTAAAAGAACAAAACCACTTCTCATTACTGTGTTTATTTTATCGTTAGGGCTGATTTAAATTTCACTTCCAAAATACATTTTCATTAATGAAAGAAAAGCAAGAGATTGGAGGACCAATTCATTATTTTTGACTTAGCCAATGGATTTTGAAAATGATGGCGGGTTGAATGATTTCAAATGTCAATTGTAGCAGGCCAATGCTGCTGTTAATTAGGCCATAGTGATGGGTTCAACACAGAAGTCTGGCTATAGTGATTTTAGGAAGGCTTTCTTTGTTAATTATGAAGGACCCACTATTCATAGAAATAACATATAGCTGTGCTAGAGGAAAGGCAATGGAGTGATACAAATCAAATGGGTTTATTTCCTTGGGATCATAAGGGCAGCAAATTTAGTAATACTTTGACCTGAGGGTAGCACTACAAGGAAGCTCACAAAGTGCACAAACAGGTTTATCCTGGGAGTAGATTGAATGTGTTCAGTACATTTTCAAAGCAATTTGCCCACTATAATTTTATAAGAACTGTTCTGCTATGTTCAGTCATGATACAAATAACGGCGTCTATCGAACCACTATGTGTAAGATTTGAACATGTCTGATTTTGGCGCCACACGGTGGTAAAAGACATCAGACAGCAATGAGTGCCACAAACCCCTGCAACACATTGGCTGTGTCTGAATATTTCCTACTATATTTTGTGGACCCTATTTACCCTTCTAACAATCCCACAATGCGTTTTATAGACATAAAACTGCCAGCTGAAACACTTTCTAATATAACTGATACACTAAACCTTTTCTGACAGTGCAACAGGCTTAGTGAACTTTTGGCTGCAGCCAGTGCTGGGCTCGACTCCAGTAGAGAGGACTTTCATGCTCTGAAGTGTTTGCTTTCCACACTGCCACAGAACGCTGAAAGTGAGCAGCACAGACAACTGGGCTCTTACTTTTGCTAAAGGAAATGAGTGTATGTGCAGTGGAGGAAATAGGATATGAGCTGAGCAGGTAGAGGGCAGAAAAAGAGTTGCAGCTCGTGGAGGAAAGCTGCAAGGAGTGATTTCTGACTCAATTATCACAACTCAGAACCCATGACTCCACTTCATGGAAACATGCAGTATTTTTTAACTTAAAACTTATTCATGCATGACAGTGTGATATACCTACCTGCGGGTCCCTGCTCACCAGGAGCTCCCTGAGCGGGCACAGCCCCCATCAGTAATGAGGCCTCCGGTGCAGTTCCTCCTTTACCCTGAAGGTGGCGATGTGATACGGAGGCCGGGGCATTGAGTAATTGGACCTTGTACAGGAAAACATAAAACAAGTGTGGCCAATTAAACAATCACAACATATTTCTCAGTGTTTTGGATACTGTGGCTGAATGAGTACATTCCATACCTTCGCCTCCAGTGAGCTCAGCCTGTCACTCAAAGACGTGATTCGACTACAATTGAGACAATCTGAAAAACAGCAAATTGCTTTCTTTACCTTTAGGAATCAGACACTTAAACGTGTGCTATAACTTTGCCATTGTGTCACACAGTAAAGTATTAACATGTTCACAGTTCTTACTGGAGATTGGCTCTCCTGTGCGTGCAGGCGGGCGTCGTAGCGTGGATGGTTTCCTGAGTGCCTCTTGAGCTGCAAACTGGCTTCCTGCCTCTGTAACAGAAGATAAAGAGACGGACGGAAACATAGTGACTTATAGATAATGTAATACAATTTTTAGATTTGGAAGTTTCTACTTATATGCAATACAGGAATATTCTTCTTCTTCTAACAAAGATCTATTCAATTGTTTGAAGAATCAGTTAAAACGTTTGTTGCAATATGCTGCTGACATTAGCGCTGAGAGGATTAATTGTTAGTAATAATAATCATAAACATATATTACATAGTGCTTTATCTTGAGTAAAGAGGGGAAACTTGCTTCAACCACCACCAATGTGTAGCATCAATCAGCGTGCCACGGCAGCCATTTTGTGCCAAAACGCTAATCACACTTGAGGTGATGAGGGAGGGAAACATGGAGCCAGTCACACTGGGGGAATGATTGGTGGCCAGATGGAGAGAGCAGGTTGGGAAATCTGCCAGGACACCAGGGGTTCCCCTAGTCTTTGCGATAAGATCCGTAAACAAGAGTGGGAAAAGTTGCCATGGTGAATGAGTGTGCAGTGCATCGGGCCGTTTGAGTTGCGTAACACAGTGGTTCCCAACCTTTTTCCTTAAAGGACCCCTTTTCTACCATTTAGTAAACTGACGACCCTAGCTTAGTAGAAGTTTGAGTAAAAGGTTTGGATGAATTTGGAGCAGATTATTTATTTTTATACAATTCTCCATCTGTATTATGTGTTTTTAACAGTCATACACACTTACTAGGCTTCTTTTTTGACAAATTCAGTGTTTTCTTGTCCCTGACACTTGGCCATTGCTCTATCAGACATTTTACTTTACTCTATATTTACATTTCTTAACAAAAGTGAACCAAATACTGTTATATAGTTAAACCCCTTAAAATCAAGATGGCCTTGCTTCCCCCACATAAGGCTTTGGCGACCCCAGGTTAGGAAGCATCTCTGTAACAGACATGCAACTGACTTTTTATACCGTAACCACAATTTCTCTCTTAATCTTAACTATACTGTAGATGCCAAGTGCAGACATTGTATACAAAATGAGGAATTGTTCAATATTACTTTTCTGTCTGGCAGTAGGGTTGTATCAACTGTTTACATGCTCATATTGTCATGATGCTTTTTTGGGCAACAGGTCCCAATGACCTGTGGAAGGCATTCAGAGGATCTGGACAGACAACAATAGAAAAACAATTAAAGAAAAAGGGAAAAGAAAGAACGTTTGTTTCCGATTCTCAACTGATCAAACTTTCAAATATTCATTAATTGGCTGCAGGTGTGAATATGTCCTTTTGAGTTAAATGTAATGTCATCAGTCCAATAATATGGAGGTTACACAGACTGTGCTGTGGATTGTGTGAAGGTGTTTCACTGTGGCAGACACCAGAGATCGCCTCTGCGCTGTTTCTGTGGGTTGCTATCCTCCAGGTGAGCTTCTTACCCTCAGCCAGAGACAGCTAACAAAAAGTTGATGGGGTGTAGAGAGGACAGAAATGGAAATCTCCAGAGAGAGTTACAGCTTTTGTCTCTGTTACATTTCCAAGAGACAAACAGTGCGCACGCTGTGTCTTTGCCAAGTTGCTTTCCTTTTGCCTTGTTTCTTTATGGAGTATAAAATCGCAAAGCCTGGGAGAGAGGGCGTGTTAAGACAAACAATAGTTTCCTTGTGCAGAGAGAATGGGTAGTCTCGGCTCGCATTCTGTCTTGCCTTCATTTTATGAAGTGTGGGAGTTTGTGTCCCTGGGTTCTGGATGTTTTGAATGGGCAGACCGTTGTGGAAATGCTAGACTGACTCCTTTGTCTGGCCTGGTCTGGCTCTGGTCGGCCCAGGTGCTCCTGATACAAACAAGGGGCCGGGTTCAGCACCTCATTAGCCACCGGGAAGCACGTCTTTGCCGTTCAGTGGCGGGCAGCCACAGTCAACGTCAAGTGCTATCCTGAAAGAAGCCATGAAATAGCACCTGCAGCAGGAGAACAGTTTTCTTCCTAAACAGCCTCACTTATTGTAACCTCACATGTCATGATCTGTCTCTATCCACTGCAGACCCAGGAAAGGAAAATGGAGAGCTTATTGTCATGAAGAAAAATAAACGTTTGGGAACTTAAGACAGGAAAGCATAACGGGTTTAGTGATTACCCAAAGAGGGGAGAGAGAGAGAGAGGGCAAAGGAGGAGTATGAAAAGTACACAGAACACATGGTTTAAGGTAAATTGAGACCACTCGAATAATTCCCCCTCCTCAACCTCTGGGCTCATGATTTCACTGTTTTGGGTTCTGGGTATTTCTCAGAGGATTACAAGTGTAGATGGATTTAAACCATGTAAGACCTGAGACTGAAATGTTATGGCATGCGCTCTAGATTGCAGAAAACTCTTCCACATTTTGATAACGGTATAAACCTTGAGCAGACGAGAACACACACTTTGATCTGCTCTTCACTCGTCTGTACAGCACTTCAGTCCACATGGGGAAGACTGTGGAGACAAAGAGAGGTGTGTGTGTGTGTGTGTGTGTGTGTTTGTGTGTACACGCACATGCCGGGGACGTTTTCTCTGGAGCTCGGCTCATGTAGATGGCTGCATTCAATTACAAAAGAGGCTCTGGATAGGAAATCTAGCTCTCGCCCCTAACGGCACCTCTTCTCCCTCTAGAGTAAAGAACATTCAAGCGCCAAGATCCCCTCACCCACACTCGAGCTATTGTATGAAGCATTAAGCTGGCTTTGGCACAAGGACAACTGTCCCCCCCCCCACACACACACCTCTTACACACTTTCTCTCTGTCTTGCAACAACAAATTTAAAATCCTGCAAGACCCTTCTTTTCTTCTGCATCTCCTGTGACAGTGTCTGTTAACTACAAGGCCTGCGGTGTGTGTGCATGAAGGCCCGAGGAAAGAGGATGTATAGGATGCCTCGAGTGTGATCCATCGCTCTTTTGGCCAACCATAACATCATCACAGTTAATGAATGCCCCCTGATGGACCCAGCTCATTGTATCCACACTTTGTTCTCAGTGGGCTAATTGCCCCAGTGGGGGAGGTCAAAGAAATGTGTGAATGTATTTGACCTTTTGCCCCCATGTTGCACTGGGCCATAATCAGTGACTGAGTCAGAGCTCTTCATTAGAGGAATCCCCCCCGCAGAGAGTTCAGCGGGCCAGAGGCCGTCCTGTCATCAGCTCTCTCTCTGTCTCTCGCTCCACTTTTCTATCTCTCTCTCTCTCACACACAAACACACACACAAAGATGTACAGAGCTCAGTAATTTGTTTACAAACAAAAAAGAGGAAGATATGCGTGAAGGTCATAGTGAGAAGGTTATCTTTTCCCATTTCGTAATGAGTGCGTGTATTCAGGCAGTTAAGAAGGATGTTCTGTGGGATTGTTTATGCTCAAGCGCATGATGATATGCACAGAATATTATGTACAAAGGTATTTTGTAGCAGCAGGAAAAGACGGCGAGAAGCTTCTGAAAAGCAAATCAGATTTTGCAGATACTATTTCAGACTGAATTTGTCTTTATTGAGGAGTTCTGCAGGTATCCAAAAGTCGAGCTGAGCTCTTACAGCATGCAGTCTTTCCAAGCCTTTAGCCAGGGGCTAAGGTTAGACGAACCAATAAAGTTGTTTGTTGAAATCTGAGCAATAGGTCTGCCAAGCCACACATGTAGCCCTGTGGGCCTCAGATGAAGCCCCGACAGAACTTGTTCCTCTCCTCTGTTTCATATCACTCACTGCTTGAATAAATGAAAAACACTGAAGGTGAGTGAACTGAACACTAGCCTGTCAAATTAAAAGAAAATATTGACTTGTCAGTGTAGTTCAACTATAATACAATGGATATAAGTTTATTTAAATGAAATATTCGTTGTGTGTTAAATGTGTCTGAAATGCATATAGAGTTATCATTTATGATTATATTTCATTTCTTTGCTCACATTCAGTTTTTTAATTGGGAAACTCCAAATACTGACAGGGAAAACAACATACATTTGGTGGCTTTTTGTGTACTGGATGAAACTCAAAAGTGAGACACCACAATTCGGACAGAAGGAGTGTGAATGGTAGCTCGCCTTGGTAACAGACTGTTTGTGCGCCAACACCACAGACACATTCATGCCAAGTGTGAAGGGGGGAGCCCTCAATCTGAACTGATTGTAAAAATTGTTTATTTGGATTTCAGCATTAATAATCTGCTGTTACTGTTATATCATTATATTATTATTATGGCAGCTGTATTGCAAAGCTATTTTTACTGGCCCTAAAAACACATTTGGAGCTCTGCTGGTACCACCAGAGTGAGAGCTAAGGACACAACGACAAGGACTGCAGCTGCACCTCTCGCTCTACAAACTGAGGTGTGTGTTCATATGCTCTTGTGTAGGGGTTTGTCTGTGTGTGTGTGTGTGAGAAAGTGCACGTGAGACAAACACACAAATGCACACGTACACTGGCTGTATCATTAACAGGCCAAGGTCATTCCTTCATTGATACTCTCTCAGTGAAAATAGACCAGAGCCCTCATGCTAAGAGCCCAGTTAGTGCTGCCAACCAGAGCCCTTAAACACACATCTCACACTCAGCTGCACTGACTGCCTGATCCTCAAAGCTCATCACCCTCTGTGGTTTATTTGTTCTCTGCTCCTGCAGAAAGATTGAGCAGCTTGCAGACAGGCAGGCCTTAAGAAGCCTTATGACTGTACGAGTGAGACCTTTGTCGTCCTCTCATATGGTCTGCAGCAGAGGGCGGGTAAATATATGACGACCGGGTTGGAGCAAAAGTTGTGCTTAACTGCCTATAAAGTCTGTTTCCTCGAGTTTGAAGTTCTTGTGGGGAGATACAGCACAGGGCCCGGCATCAGATGTGAATGCAAGCATCAAAACACACACACACACACAGAAGTGGCAGTGAGCAGTGAGCAGACACAGCAGAGTGCAAGGTCCTGATCCATCTCTGTCTGGTCAATTAGCTGAGCTCAGCGCTGCAGCATCATTAGTGACCAGGTGCTGACAGCCAACCAGGAGAGGC